TATGCTGATTCAGTCCAGTGGAATGCGTTTTTGCAGAGGAGATCAGTTCTTTTGCCCCCGTAACTCTTCACAAATTTTCGATAATAACCTGTCAACCCAAAAAATCCCTATAATTCCTTGATATCCCTTGGAACTGGCCATGCTTGGATGCACTCTATTTTGGCAAGATCAACAGCAACCCCCTAAGCCGAGATCAAATGTCCAAGGTACTCAAGTTGTGACTGAAAAAACTTGCATTTCTTCTTATTAACAACTCGATGTTGTTCTAAAATTTGAAAGGTAGTCTCCAAATGATCTAAATGAGCTTCGAAGCTTGTGTTGTAAATTAGGATATTGTCGAAGAAGACTAAAATGAACTACCATAAGTGAGGTTTTAAAATGTCGTTCATGAGGGTCGTAGTGCCCTTTGAGGGTCCTAAAGGCCGTCTTATGAGTGTCACTTTCCCTTAGTATAATTTGGTGGTAGTCAGATTTAAGATCAAGTTTGGAGAAGACCGTGGCTCCCCTTAATTCATCAAACAGTTCGTCGACAGTTGGAATTGGAAACTTGTCGGGAGTAGTTATCTATTCATGGTTCTATAGTTGACGCAGAATCGTCATCCCCTATCTTTTTTTCATACCAATAGCATCAGGCTTGAGAAAAGGCTTTTACTTGGTTTGATGATGCTTGTTAACAACATTTCCTTGAATATGCATTCAATCTCATTTTTTTGATAATAGGGATATCGATACAGCCGAATGTTGGGTGTTCTACTACCAGGTTCCAATCTGATGGCATGGTCATGGATTCTCTTCGATGGAAGTCCAAGTGTAGCTTCAAACAAAGACTCATGACGTTGTAACAGTTCTAGGACCCTTAAATCCCCCACTTCCTCATCTTCTGACTGTGATTATAGGTTGTTGAACTCAATTTAATACCATGGGCCTTCCAATAGCAGTGTTTTGAGTAGCCCCTTAAGTGACACCATGGTCTTGCTTAAGGATGGATCTCCCTTAAAAGTGGGCACTCCCTCTACCAAGTTGAATTTCATAACCAATGTTTTCCAATTAATCATAGTCTCACCCAAAGTTTCCAACCAAGCCACTCCCAAGATGATGTCAGCTCTACTCATCTCGAATGGAAAGAAATTTTGGACAAAAGTGATGCTTTGCAAATTTACCTTAACCCCCTTACATTCCCTATTGCACCTGACATGGTATCCATTGCCTACTCTAACCCCAAAAGCCTTCATACGAATTACAAGAATTTTCAACTCCTTTATCACTTGTCAGTGGATGAAATTATGAGAGGCTCCACTGTCAACAAGAACAATCACCTCCTTCCCTCCAATATTTTCCTTTAACTTTAGCGTTTTTGGCTCGTTAAGTCTCACAACTGAACTGATCGAGAGCTTAGCTTCATGAGGTGTTGGATTTTCTTCATTCCCTACTCCCTCCTCATCTTCTTCCTTACCGCCCCACTCTTCTGGTTCTTCCACTAACAAAACTTGGAATTGCCTCTCCCCACACATATGGCATGGTGTAAACTTGGCATCACACTGATAACAAAGTCCCCCTTCTCCATTCCTCTGAATCTCACCTTCAGGCAGCTTCTTAAAGAGAAAATCCCACTAGAATAGGGTCAATTGGGAGCTATCTATCGACATTGACCCTGAGTTTGAAATACTCTTGGTGAAATTTCTCTAAATGGAGGTTAGGTTGTTAGGTTTCTTTGACTAAGCATGGTGGTGGGTTGGGTCACATGTGTATGGGTTTGGGTTTAGTTAGTATGGTTTTGGGCTTTATTAAAGTCTTCAGGCCTATAAGAAGTTGTATAATGGCGCAACCCACTAAAGTTTCCCCCCACTTTTCCCATTCAGCCCAAACTAGCCCTACCCTTATCCAACACTTGGTTCCTTTCAAAAGAGTAACTTGGGTCAGTGAATCGGGTTGGCCCAAAATATTAGGCTGTTGAAGTTTAATCTTAGCCTTGATTTCAGGCTTTAACCTATTGAGAAACGTCACTGTGAGAACTTCATCCCTCTTACCCACCATCAATGTCGCCACCCCTTCAAAACGTCGGCAATACTCCAGCATAGAGCCCACTTGCTTCGTGGACATAATCAACTTCAAAAGGTTGACTTTTTGGGCACCACTAAACCTCTGTAGGAGCGCCACCTTAAACGTCGACCATCTCACCATTGGCGTCTTGGATTCTATCCACTAGAACCAATGCAAAGCTTCACCCTCCATACATAGTGTCATGGCTTGGACCTTGTTTTCCTCGGTTATCTGATTGATGGAAAAGTATCTCTCAACCCGAAATATCCACCCATAGGGATTTTCGCCCGAAAAAAGCAGAAACTCCAACCTTCAACCTCCCCATTCTCTCCTATTCCCTCCTTCACCCTGGTGGTACCTCCATTCTCGTATAGTGAGGGTGGTGTTGGTGTTGGTGTTGGTTCATTTCCTAATTGGTTTCCTCCGTCATGTTGGTTCTTTGTCCCCGAGTGTTCTTCTTCTTCCAACACTACTTGTCTGTGTCACACTTCTTCTTCTTCATCCCTTCGTCTCATCCAATTCTGCATTTCAACTAGGATTTCTATCTTGGAGTTAACACTTTCAATAAGCCTGGTTATGTCTCTCTCTACATTGTCAACGCTACCCTCCATCCAAGTGTTAACCATGCCCTAGTGAGCTTCAGCTCTGATACCAATTGATGAGTACCTTTGACTTCAACTCCCTTTTTCGCTCTCAACAAATAACACAACAATCAAAACAACTGCAAATCCAGAAATACACGATAATTCCAACCACAAATGATAACAAATAATAAGCCAATCAATCAAATCACTGAAGGAAAAGACAATATGCATTTATATTCAGAATCAGTAAGGATATCCAAAATAAAAGAAAAATACATAAACAAGAAAGAGCATACTTGATTTCGATGGCCAATACCTCCCAAACCCCTTTTTACCCAAAATATTCAGAATGCCCTCAAACACACACACCTTGGTCTTTTATTCCTAACAATTCCTGACACTCAAATCCTAACAAACTACCCAAGCCACCTGTCCTCCATGTTGATTCTTGGCCACCTGTCCCGCAGATTGATTCCAAATTTTACCCCCTTTTGACTTGTGTTTGTACCACTTGGTGATTTTAGGTCCATCACATATTCATGTAAGCTATGTAATATTATGCAAGTGTTGCTTCTAAACTGTGTAAATTTAGCATTGTACAACAAGTTTTTCTCATAAAAAACTGATAAATTCTCTAGGCAAATTTGGAATCATAAACACATTGTTATGAAAATCTTCGTAAATATCTTTTGCATAATAGATACATGTGCATCTGATCAATCCAGGGTGTATGTGCATGCACACACATTGAAGCGATATCCTACTTTAGTAAAATATGAATGTGTAACATAATATTCGAGATAGAGTTTTACTTATGTAGAGAGTTTTTAAGACCCTGATCTCATATTGTGTAAAGTTTGTATGTATTAAAATGTTATTAGAAATATAATTATGGTTATATGTTATGAAGGTATGTTATAAATTATTGTTATATCTTATTTTAGAGTGTTGTACATGATTTTCCTACAGTTAGATTTACGCCACCTGTCCATAGATTACTCTAAGATCAAGCAACCATGATCGTCCACATGTCACTCCCACAATAGATGACTTAACTAATAAGTTCATCAATCCCTAAGCATGATTACTCCGACTTAACCATAGAAAAAGACTGACTCAGATCCGGATTACGATGATTATGCGTGTAATTTCCCCTATAATCTACCAACTCTCAACTAATACCATACGACATGTCTAAAAGGGAGGCATCACCCCCATTCTTAAGAACGAGACACAACCCTGTAAGAACCTTGGAAAAGCACACTTAAGAACCTACTTAGTGAAGCTCTGTGAGCTTACTATTACGGTTCTCCTCTTATAATCAATTTGTATGTAATCTAGGCATTAATAATAAGATAACAATGGACGTAGGTTTGTCCTAATTCGTTGTAGATTTTCTATTCCATTCCAAGCTTATTATTTATAATCGCGTGCACATCCTACTTAGTCCCATCTTAGTCAACTAGGTATCTCTGGTTATTGCGGATTTTCGCAACAACATAAAGCATCATAACAAAACCATTTGTTATATTTCTTATTTAATTGTCTTTACTTAAATCCTATTGTTAATTCTAATTAATACCACCATTAGTGGTTGAGGAATTCAAGGAATCACCAAATGAGATTTGTAAATCAACTTGAATAGAAATTCTTTAACTTTCTCTTTTAATTAATTTAATTATTAATTACTTCCTTATTTTGGAACCTAATCTTATCTAATCTTATCTATTTTAACAAATAATATGATCATTAATTTTAAATTAAATTCTTTAAGAATTAAAAGTAGAAAAACAACACAATCCTTGTTGGATTTTATTTTGACCTAATCTTATCTAATCTGATCTATTTTAACAAATAATATGATCATTAATTTTAAATTAAATTCTTTAAGAATTAAAAGTAGAAAAACAACACAATCCTTGTTGGATTTTATTTTGATTGATGAATAAATAGAAGAATAATACTACACTTACAAAGTCCTCATACAAAGATGTGTGTACAAAGTGAGGTGTCATACTGTGATTGGGAGAGTGAATTTGTAAAGTCAACTTTTTAACTAAAGTCAAATTCATTGTCCAATCATGGTATGACACATCACTTTGTACATATATCTTTGTATGGGGACTTTGTAAATGTAGTATTACTCTAAATAGAAAGCCATTGTCACGTGCCATAAAACACCCTTCCACTCTTACCGAAAAAGACCTAAAACTCAACTCAAATTAGTCTCCAAATCTTGAACCAACAAAAGTACTTTCAATTGGAGGGAAACTCATCTCACCCTCCATTCATCATCAAACGGTCAAAATCACATCAAATCAAACCACTCCCATAAATTTAAATTTTTTTAACCAAATTTTTTAAACTTATTACTAAATCAAAAATAAATAAAAAACAACAAAAGAAACAGAGAATATGGAGAGAAAACATAGAAAGAATTTTGGTGAAGATAACACACAAAGCTGCTGACTTTTTCATCCTTTAGCTTCCATTCAGAAAACTAAGACCTACCCACAATTTTAAACCTAGTGATCTTTATTTCTGCTGCGAGAAATGTTTTGTTTACTCTGCTGAGAGAAAGATGGTAAAACTCTTGACTTTTTAGTTTTTTAATGACCAAGTTGTTTACTTTGTAATTTACCTACACTTTCTCTTAGTGTACATTTTAGATGTTTGTGTTGTTTGGTTGCTGAGAAAGGAAGGGAAATGAGAATGGAAGTTTGAAATAAGGTTTTTTCTTCTTTTTTTTTCTCACTGGGTGGAAATTTTCTCTGCAGCCAAACAGGGCATTCCCCTGTTTTTTCACTGTAAATTTCTGTTTATTAATTAATTAAAGATGTATTTTTTTTTTCAAATGCAGGCTAATTTGAGAATCTTTGTGTAGTTTTCATTGTATTCTCCCTGGATCTTGAGGTCAGTATTGCTGGATTTTGCTCTCTTAATTAGTTTTGCTTGATTCTCTAAACACTTTAATATCTATATCTGATCAATTCTCTTGCAGTTTTATTTTTTTTCTTTTGTGTATTCTCTTAAGAAGTTTCATGTTGTTTCATTGTAACTATTAAAAAGTCAAATGGGTATTTTGTTTAATGGATTTCTTTTTTCTTGGTATATTCTCTTTAGTTCTGGAAAATTGTCTCTCAGTTTCTTGCATTTTCTCTCACTCTCTTGTTTGTCAAGAAAAAATTCAAAATTCAAATGGGTAAATTGTGTTATGAAACATAGTGTTTGGATTAAATCTTGTGTTTTTGTTGCAGATAAAAGTGAAAGAAATAAGAGTAGAATGGAAAAAGAAGAGAAGAACCAAAGCCAAAGAGAAAAAGAGACAACAACAGATTTTGTGTTAAAATGGGGAAATAGAAAAAGACTTAGATGTTGTAAAGTGAAAAAAGAATCCAAAAACTTAGAAAACATTGACAACAGCTGCAACAACAATAACAATAATAAGAACAAATCAGGTCCTGACTGTTTGTCCAAGAAGAAATTTTCCTCCTCTCGCCTTGTTTCGCTGGAGAAAGGATCTCCCAATCGCCTCAACAAGTAAGTTAATGAAGTACTTGGAAATGTAAGAGTTTTATCTTGTTGATAAAATGTATGTGAATGGCTTTAAATTGTTGTGAAAGTTTGAGAATCAGTTAACCCTGATGGCTAGTTGTGTATTGAGTGGTTAGGCATGTCATTAGATTTCTCGTGAAATGCCACGATTTTCCTGCTTCTCAAATCCTAGTTGTGATCAAATAGTTGAAAATTATGGGAGCATGGACAAAGTGTCTTTTCTGTGAGTTTCGTTGGGTTTTATTTGCTGCTAAAGGTTTTAAATCAAGTTTCAATTTCTATGGATTGATGTATATCTGTGATGCTTTAGTGTTAATTCTGGGAAATGTGGGAACTTAGAACGTAAAAATTTGGAATAACATCACAATGTGGATAAAATTTCATTATTTGACATGCAAAAGAAATTGTTTCATCAGAGTTTAGAGAGATTTTAGACAATAGAAAATAATTTATCTCTGATTTATAGTGTGTTTTGTTACCAAGGAAATGTAGGAAATAGAAAACTTTGAACCTTGTAACACTTTGGGTTTGCATACTTGAGCTAGCAGCTATTATAAAAAAAAAAAATGTCAATTCTTTGCCCTGAATTTTGCCTGTTTGGATGGTGAGAAAATGTAGGAATGAGAAGGGAAATTTTGATGCAGTAGCCTGTTAGGGGTAGAAGGATTGGATTGGCTTTAATAATTCTAACCAGGCTTTATTTACTTCCATTATTCTATGTTTCCTCATAAACCAATAGAAGATTTTATTAATTAGTTTTGCTGATAGTTTATCGTTTTTTGTTTGGCTGCAGGAATTCTGATTTGCCTATTAATAATAACCGGAAACCATGTGTGGCTTCACCAGAGAAGGAAGATAGGTACTACACAACAAGGGGTTCATTAGGATTGGATGATAGTGGAAAAGCGTTGATGGATCATCTAAAGGAAGATAAGAAAACTTTTGTTTGGCCAAAGCTTTTTATCACATTGTCTAGCAAAGAAAAGGAAGAGGATTTCATGGCAATGAAAGGTTGTAAGCCTTCTCAAAGGCCTAAGAAGAGAGCCAAGTTGATCCAAAGAAGCATACTCGTAAGTCTTCTTATCAAATATTCATAACCACAAGTAAATAGAATCGAATAAATTGAAAATTAAAATAGAGTATTATCTTTTTGATCTTGATACCTGTTGATTGGTTTACCATGTTCGGTTGTCGTCGTGTTTGTAGTTGGTGAGTCCAGGTGTATGGTTATCAGACCTATGTCAAGAAAGGTATGAAGTAAGGGAGAAGAAAACTTCAAAGAAGGTAGTACATTACTCTATTTTTTTTTTTTTTTTTAAAAAAACTTCAAATTTATATCGCTTATGATGTTGCTGAGGAAATGCAAGAAAAATCGAATCTTTTATGTTTTCTGTGAATTAAAATTTGTGTTTTCTCCATCAGCATCTTTATGAACATTTGTATGTGATGCAGAGGCCCAGAGGATTGAAGGCGATGGGAAGTGTGGAAAGTGAATCAGAATGAAAGAAAGGAAAGAAAAGAGATTGATGTAGAGGAAGTAAATCTTGACTTTATTTTTGTAGGTGGGAAAGGCAATTTTCATGGGAAAAATGGAGGCTCCCCTCATGTTTGTTTATGTAGAAATTACTTTACCACATGTCAATGTGGTATACCTTTTTTTTTTTTTTTTTTTTTAACTCATTTCGAAATAGGCTTCTTTGTCTTTCCTCTTGAATGCCTTGCTTTTGTCTACTTTTGGTTGTCGACTTGTGCTTTTATTTCATTTCAGGGGTCCTGTGCAGCTTTAAGTACCTTTTCCATGATCATATTCATATTTACTTGCTTTAGAATTTTAGATATACCTAACCATTGACTCTTAAACATGAATGAATGGAAATCAAAGGATTGAATTGATAAGAGAGAATTTGTTCACTGCCATTGATGACAATGGTAAGTTTTTGATAAAAATATCAGCACAAAGGTCAGCTTAAGTTCAGTTCATCTAAATATATTGATGTTGGACTCTTGGACTCTTGGACATGTGAACACAGATTGGTTTTCTTGTCAATAACAAATTAATCAAATGCAAGTAGAAGCTTCCGTTCATTTATAAATTGTTTTCATTCTTTACAAAAGGGTTTATCGTAGTCTCACCCCCTGATATTTGACACAAAAACTTTTCTCCCCCTTCTTATGGGAATGCTGCCACCTCCAAATAGCGTGTGTCAACTAAAAATAATAGGTCAATGGGTAAAAAATATAATTTGAATAATCAATCGATTGTTTAGACATTGTTATAATTCTTGAATGTAAAAAGGGGTAAAAGTTTTCCAAATAATTGACCATTTTGACATTGTTACAATTCTTTTGAGTGTAAAATGGATTAGCTGTTTAATTAAAACCTCCAACTAATTTTGCACCAAATCTTAGGGGTGGCAATGTAATTTAGTACTCCTTCCAAGCCTTAATTAACAGGCTACTGTATGCATTTGTGCAGGTCTGGTGGATTGCTTTTTGTTCAGATTAAAAGCAAGTTTTTAGGCAAAGAAGAGAAGACCACGATGTACAATGAAAGAAACATCAAATGGGGATTATATTGCAAGAAAGAACATTTGTACAAATGACTAATGGTTCAGCTTATAAAGCATTTCAAAACTGCAGCTGAAAAAATTGTCCTTTTGGTTTCCCAGCTACAATGCTTTTCTGCATTCCCTATGAATTAGACATTAGTAAATTATTTTCCTATTGATTGCCAGCTTTACTTTTTAACTGAAATTTACATGATCAGAGAACTATATTCCTTACAATACCTACAAAATGTACAGTTCACCACCCAAGAATCGTGTCAGATGCCTGTCCTACTAATCACGCTGAGGGAGCTACCCATCCGAATTTTCGTGATCATCCCCCATGTCAACAAAAAACCTTTCCAGCTGATGCAGGTATGATATATTCCACACAATGAACTTTGCAGAATCAATCAACACTGACAGTTGCATCAGTCTAATGAATTGCTAACTACTCGCAGGCCATCCTTGCAGAGCTAAGAACCACATCATGCACAGCCCTGCCACACGAAGACTTCAGATCAATCACTTGGGTATCTCATATTTCAAAACATTAAGAAATCCACGTACTTAACAGTCAACAGGAAGTCAAATTTTTGAAATAGCAAGAGATAGAAGCTACATGAACATTGTTAAGAAGATTAAATAAAAACCTTACCTAGTGATTATGTGCATTGGTTTGTGGTTCAACTAGACCTGCTCGTGTTGCACATATCCATGGAGAACCCAAGCACCTCAATTTTACAGGTTTGCTCCAAGCCTCTAGGATCAAAAATCAACTGAAGCACCACCACTGTACTATAAAGCTTCCAGGATTATTGATGCTTTGGTGAAAACAGAAAGAACAAACGGTGCTTCCTCCCCAGGATGTATAGTTGTAGGCACTATTGTGTAACCCTTTGGATCAGGGTCCAGAACCATCTCACAAGATATTTCTCGAGAGTTTACATAATCTGTCCCTCCGACTGATTCATGTAGGTAAATGTTGTGAGCAGCGCGACGACCACGGGTTTTGAGTATCCTCATCCCAATATAGAACATCATTGAATCATGACTAGATTGATAATTTCTAAAACCAGCAGCAGTTCTCGAAAAACTCACACCCTAAACAAATACTTCAAATCAGTTCATAAAATACAGAAAAAAGGAAAGCTATAGTGCCATAGTTCTGCCTGAAGGTCCACAGTATACCTGAGTTAACGTAATGAACACATGGATTGGATATGATGCATCTGAACCAGTGGCCCTGAGTCGGAACTGTGGATTTTGATTCCATGAAGCATAATCTTGACAGCCACCAGCACTGTAACCTCGCCACTGGCCATGCACAGAATAGCGCATCTCGGGGGGGTAGACACGACAAACATATATCGATCTAAAGTGAATCTGAAAGTCTTGCCACGACATCCAGAATATACCATCTTTAGACTGTTCAAAAATAAAAAGATCAGCCACATGCAAATGAGATCTTACTTAAAAGAAAAAAAAAAGAGGATAATACTGTCTAAGATACAACTTTTCATGTCTAATTAAAGATTTATTAACAGAAATCAACTCAACTAGATATGCCCAAAGAGAAAGTGGGGATCAAAGGAACAAATTGCTACAAAAGCTAAGCTAAGTACCTGTGGAACATGCTTCAGCTTGTGCTTCATCCTATCAGTCCACTCAGGAGATGAGTCAGACCAAGGACCATTCCACTCAACTTCATTAGCCCATGGGTTTCGGATTTGAACAAGCTTGTGGCCGTCAACCTCTCTCACCTGAATGATAAGAGAAATTATTAGAGTCAGCCAAATTTCTTGAACTGGTATATTATATATAAAGTTGGACTGAATAGAATTTCGACATACCTGCAATATTGAGTAAGCATGCCCTTGCACAATGCCGCTGGAAGAAATGTGCACATCAGAACCTGATGGACTCCCAGCACCAAGTAGGAATCCTTCTTGTTTAAAGCGCAACAATTGAGACCATAATCTACCACTTGCAAGATCAATCTGGGCCTGGGCACTCCTCATGTCAATCTCCTCACCAGCACCCCCAGTAAGGTCCACAAGGGCATCCTGAACAAGCCCTCCTTCCAGTGCCTCATAAGAACCGTGCAATTTGGCATATGCCTTCTCCAATATAGAGACCCAAAGTTCATTACCCTTCTTGCTGGTGGCAAATGCTGGTTTACCCAGTGATTCACAAGGAATCCAATCGTCAACAACAACAGGGACCCACTCACCCTATAGAGATATTAGAATTAGAAATAAAAGCAAGCAATTATTGACAGGCTAAATAATACATTATCTATAAAACCAATATTAAGAGGAAAACCACAGTTCCAGGCTTCCAGAATACAAACCAAAACAAGTTATCTAATATAACATAAAAAATAAGCATTTCTTTTTAATTTATGGATATGTAAGAAAAGAATTATCGAGATGTATTGAGGAGTGTTAGGTGTTGACAAGATTGATCAAAGATATTATGAGCTCATTACCTGAATACAGAAGCGAACAGTGTAGATTCCTTCCTCGTTGTACTCAGGAGTAATAATCACTTCTGATATTCGTGAGACCTCCGTTAGAACAGCAACAGCACTCAGAAACCAACAATCCCCCAATCGACCCTATTGATTGAGAAGTTAACGTTAAGAAAAATATTAAATAAAACCATGCACAAAACTGAATATTACAAATCATTCTGCTAACAAGATTCAACCTGACAAACATCAGAGGGGTTTACAGCTCCGGAAAACAAGCACGGAAGACAATCTAAACGGCTCTCTTTCACAATTTCAGAAGGCCTCATCCACTCAGCAACAACCTAGGTTTCAAAGCCAATATTAGGTTAGCTCAACCCAAAAAGTAACACTAACAGCTATTTATAAGTCGGGAAAGCCCACCTGTAACTTAGGGGCAGGATTTTCTGGATCCACAAATAATGACAGTTCATTTGGAGGGAACTCCTGATCAGTAAATTGTCTTTCACCTCTGGCAACGAGGGCTTCTTTGACAGCCAATTCAACTGAAAGCATCCGTTGATAAATTTCTTCTTGTGTTTCCATCCGAGGCTTCCTGAATTTCCTAGCAAAGGAATCAACATGGATTACCATGCCATCACGATCTGCCCTTCTTTTCCTCCCACTTGAATATTGCCCATCCCAATCTATGTCATCCCTATCATAAAGGTCTACATCTGCAGGATCACTATCCCACTCATCAACCTAGATGAAAAAATAAGCAACGATCAGTGAACAGGTTAAAACTAAGTTACAAATTATGTTCCTCTATAAATTACTGAAAACAAAGAAGGGAATTCAAGTTCTGGGAACATACTCTTGGAGGTGAATCTGCCCATTGCCAATTATCTTCAGGATATTCATCCATGCTGAACTCTGCTGAACATATAGCAGTATAAAGAGTAGCCACCTCATCTTCGGTTAAGCACCTTCCCCATAGGAAAACATCCATTATATGCATCTTAGACTCAGCTCCTTCACTATCCGACCTCCCAAATAGATCCATTTCGGTAGGTGGTCTAACACCAACATACACCTCAGTCCCTAAATCCCAAATGCTATTGCCCACAGACAACGCCAACCCAGTTTGGTAGCCATCATAAACACCATCCAAATAGCAAGTTGCCTCACCTAAATCAGCATCAATGGTCATTGTCACAATATGCCACCTGAAAAATAATTGTTAAACCACAATGAGAAAGAAAGGCTGGACAGATAAATAAAGAATTTTAAGAATTTTAATTAAAAGCCACAGGGAGCTATAAACTCTCTCCCATCAATACACCATTTTTTGATTTAAATGAGCAACAAGAAGGAATGCACCAACACAAAGAGCATTATAAAGGCATAAACAAATGCACTAAAAATCTGAGAACTGCCGATTAAGATTGCTACATAAAGAAAATGGCCTGACCTGCCATCTGCAATACTTGTCGCACTAATACTCCAATCCTTTGCAATAGTCTGCCTATCACCTTTTGTAATCAATCTAAGCCCAACTTGTCCAGCCTCAATACCTTGCTCAGAACCAGCCACCAGAATTTCCCAGCAGAATTTCTTCTGAGACTCGGTGCCTAGAAGACAAACTGGACCAGACTCAGGTTGGATCATCACTGCAATGGAAAAGCTAACCCTTTTACTTTGGCATATGCTTTGGTCAATCTGTCCACAGTGTCTGCCACTTGTAGTTGGTTCATCATCAAGAACACAAATAGCACCAGTAATTCCAGTCTGCCAACAATCCAAAAGTTAGTAACTTATACTTAAAAGCACTAATCTCACATGACATTTTGCTTCTAATACATTTAATCCCATCCAGAAGATACCAGAATAGAAGCAGAAAAATAAATGTTGACAAGATAAACATGAGTGCAGAAAATGCAGTACATTTATATCAGGACAAGATGGGATGATAAATTATCTGTGTAGCAAGAAATATGGAGGCTATTTTCATATAAAGCTAACAAGAAAAAGATAAACCTGGAAAATGCAACTATAAAAAAATAAAGGGGTTTCTCATACAATTTCTTGCTCCTGAAAATGTGAATTCCCAGCGCATGGAGATAAGAAAATATATTAACCTTACTGTAATTATCACTTTTAAAACTACAATTATTTTGTTGCTGCTATTGCAACAATGCTTTCACAAACTTTTCTCTCTTTTCTATTTTTTTTAATCAAAAAAAGTCTTAACATATTTGACACAACAGTTTTAAGAAAAAAAATACCTGCAGTGCTCGCCGAGCTAGCTGAGCAGTGCGTATCCTATGTGCAATGTTTGAAACCCTCTCTCGTGCAAACGAATCCTCAAGAACAGAATCACAACCTACTGCCCGCACAGCAGCTGCCATGGCTGCTGCCTCCCTACTTCCAGCATTAGGAATAGAGGAAATGAGAGAAGCTTCAATCTCCTTCCACTTGCGTTCTTCCCTCTCAAGGAGAGCTTTCCTTCTTTCTTTACCTCTCCCCTCCTCTTCACGTCTTTGCATTAAGATTTCCTCTTCCATCTCCTTTTCTCTTATATAACTACAAAATTTAACAAAAGAATTAGAAACACAAAGACAAGGTTAACTTACATGCAGTGCTAAAATGAAAACCAATATGAAAGCCATTACCTCTCCTGGATAATTTCAAACTGCCTACGATCCTCTGGCATCCACTTCTTAATTTTCTTAGCACTTAGGTCTGAAAACCCTATGCTATCAAGAAAGAGTCTCAACCGTACCTCATCCTACCACACAAGGATACCTATATTACTCACAAGAAAAAACATAAAACTTGATGCAGGCAAAGCATCAAGAATCTCACTAACCTGTACTTGTTCAGCCTTAGCAGTCAAACCGAGCAACAGAAGTAAATAACCCCCAAATTTATCCCACATGTATACCCATTCAGTATCAATTGCCTCTTCCAAAGCCAGAATTCTTGCATGAGTACACATTTCTCTTCTGTGATCATAATCACTGGCCAATTCACGGCGAAAACGCCCATATCTCATTCTGCAAAAGAATGAGCCAGCAACTAATTCCTCATTTCTCAGACGATCCCTCAATTTCATGACATCATCTCTAGGAAGCATTAAGTTTCCTTGCTTATCACGTGTAGCACTAGGGTCTCCAACCAACAGAGCTGTTGAACTAGCAGATCTCTGGGGAGCTGAATAAGTTCCAGACAAAGCATTTCTTGTCTGCATTACAACAAAATAACTTAAGATTATATACAACCACCTGATCTAACATTTGCCTGGAAACAAATTTCAGCTAACTCAATTTGTCTTACAACAAATTTTCTGTGGAAACATTGTGGTTGACTGATTTACGACAATGGAAAATTCACATTATACTGATAAAAAGCTTTTTTGAGTTTAAGAATAGTATATAATAAAACACACCTTAGTTGCAGATCGAGAAATTGCTTGAACAACAGTATCCTTGCTGAGAAAATTAACAGCATCTTCCATCATCTGAAGATAACAATACACATAAACAGAAGCAACTTATATAGATGTACATTGACAGGGAAAAAAAAAAAAAAAAAACGAAGTGGAAGCAATTTGAACATAGACAAATCAGATACGGTCAGCACACAAACCTTAAGAGTTAGACATGGACGAGAGACAGCAAATCCAAAAGCTACAACAAGAGCAATTGCAGATACAGCAGCTCCAGCAAATGGTGGGTAAATTTTTAAACTAGCAACAACACCCCAGCCCTCAATTGCCAGTGCAACCCCGTAAAGCACAAGAAATGCAACACTGTCGAAGAATTGTTGTCACATACATTACATATGAACAAATAAAGTAATTGTATGAATTACATTGATAGCAGAAGTAGAAGAGTAACCAGTGACCAATGGCTTAGGACACCAGAGTAGAACAAACCTGACATTCTTTCCACTATCAGCATGAGCATCATAAACATATACAGGCAGTACCCGTGGAGAATAAACTACAATTGGAGGCGAAAGAAGAACCTAAAAGAAATTGCATATTTGTAAGATAAAATGAAGCAGGACAGAGAAAAGAAAAATTAGATACAAGTAATCATACTCAAAACACGGTTACAAATAGAAAGGTTACACTCACAGTCAATGCTCTTCCAGCAAGAAGAAACAGAAACGAAAAATAACCAACAGATGCTCCAACAAAAGGCTTATCTGAAAAACAAAGGTAACTATGAAGGTACGATCAACAAAAGGAAACAAAGCAAGCAATACAGGTTTTAACTAGATTTTTTTTTATTACCATCAAACCATCCAACAAGAAATGCAGCCAAACCCAAAAGAAAGGCAACGAAACAAACAAAGAACATTTGGGTCCGGGTCAAATAAAAATTGTTTGAAGCCCAATGATGGATGACACCAATGGCTAGCACGATCAAGAGCAGAAGTAAGAGAAATGCTACCCCTACCTGTCACGATTGTCAAGAAAAAGAAACCAAGTTATATAGGTTTACTACAGCTAAAGGGTAAGAAAGATGAAGGAGTCAAAAATCTGCATCTCTTACCGTCCAAGGCTTTATTACAACAATAACAGCTGATATTGCACCAAGCAGAAGAAGAAGACCAATAGTAACAAATACATATACACCTCGGGAAAGCCTCCAACCATCATCTTTCCTGTAAATGATATCAACAGCAAATTAAAAGAGGTGAAAAGGCATTCTACATTGTGAAGCGCTAAAATCTAAGAAATTGCTAGTCTTGAATAAAAGAATAGTTTTAAGTTTCTAACTTAAAATCAAAAGAAATGTACACACCATTTGAGCAATCCAGAGCAAAGTGATAGCAACGCTGGAATGCACACCAGAGGAATTAAAGAAGCAAGAAAATCACCCTTTGTTGGGACCTGGTCATCCCTAGATTTGACAACTTCCAAGTAGGATGCACCACAAAATGCCACAAGGACAGCTACCAAAACAGCAACAGCAAGAATATGATCAAATTATCATACTTACATTGCCAGATCAAGGGATGCCTCAAATGGAAAGAAGTGCTAATTTATGAGGCACAAAACGATACAAGAACAAATAAAGAAAAGTTACCTGCAAATATCCCAACACATATAGCAGAAGATAGGGAAAACCGATATGTGGCAAACCATGAAACAATTGGCAGTACACCAGTGACTAATAAAGCAATCACTGATGCCATAACCCAACCAAGGTACACAGATGAAGCATAAGGAGAAGTAAAACTATGAGAGTCACCAGTCCATCCCTTGTAGTTCAAATCATCCAATGGCTTTGAAGATACTATTGCACCCAGAGCTAATACAGATCCAGCAAATACAGTTATACAAACAACAAGAACCACACCCTGTCAGAGACAACAAGATGTAATTATAATCAAAAACTTCATATTGCACATATAGTTTCATTAATAAGAGGAAAAAAAATCTTAAAAAAAATTAAGTTTACAAGATAACATATTGTTGGACTCTAAACTTCTAAACCATTCACATTTCATGCCACATTTTAAATAAATAGCACATTAAGATTTTAATATCATCAATAGTCAAGAAATTTTTTAACAAAGTTAAGAAATGTAAAGCAATGAGATTTAAGCTGCAACAGTTAGATAATGAAAAACCTAGATTAACAACCACCATAGACGATCAGTCTCTTTTTGTGGTAGGGGGGTTGGAGCTACAGCATAATTCATGGACTTTGTTCCATTGTCAAGTACGATAGTTTACCCAACCAGGCTTGGGTGAGTGTTTTCCAGCCAGACTAATTACCATTGTCATGACACCCAACATTGGTACTCTCAGGTTAAGGGTCCTAATAAAGACCATGAACATATCTAATGTTCAGAAATGGTTTTCCTTTTTGTTCTTTCCAAAATGAGCAAATAGAAGATTTTATTTATGGTTTGTATCAGAAATTCATAGGCCCATCTAAATAGAAGATTTTATTTATGGTCTGTATCTATACTTCATAAGCTCATCTAAAGATCAACTACAAGCATACGGTGACAAGGATGAAACTAGTTATAAATTAGACATAAACATGTTAAGGTGTTACATGCTTTTCATTAATTGACAGACAACTCTTTCAGCTACACCTAGTTCAGGTGGCTACCTGAATCATTTCTAACTTTCTATATCCCGCCTTTTCTAGGGCTATAAAGTAACTGAAAAAATCAGGAGCATCTCCAATATCGCATTGTATCAAATTCCTAAATCCCTTACATGGAAAAATATAAACCTAAGCACAAACAGTCCAGAACATAGTTTCCAAACAGTGGTTAAAGCCACAAAATTACCGGATTGTGACCAAAATCCACTCATCAAAGGATAACAGTCCAAAATGAAGTAATAATCATGCTCATATCCCATATATTACTTATCTGGAAGAAAGGTGGGAGGTGATAAAAAACAAACCTCCTTTCTCCCAGGAGGTCGATCATTTCCTGCAGGAGTCGTTGTAGATTCTACTTGTGAAACCCAAAACTGATAACCATTACGTATCCATATTGGAATTGCAACAGAAAGGCAAGCCACCATGAGTGGGACAGTCAAGGAAAGACCTAGAAGTACTGATGATTTACTGCAGCAAAAAAACAAGAAGAATATTAATGCATACAAGGTAAATGAGTTTATGGTACTTCCATATCATACTCAAACCTTAAATAGCAAACGACTAAACAAATATGATTCACAAATATAATACAATGTGAACAAAGAAAGATTTAAGAAGCTATTGATGAACATATAGATAAAACTATGGCTGTAGAATTCCTNAGTCCAGAACATAGTTTCCAAACAGTGGTTAAAGCCACAAAATTACCGGATTGTGACCAAAATCCACTCATCAAAGGATAACAGTCCAAAATGAAGTAATAATCATGCTCATATCCAATATATTACATATCTGGAAGAAAGGTGGGAGGTGATGAAAAACAAACCTCCTTTCTCCCAGGAGGTCGATCATTTCCTGCAGGAGTCGTTGTAGATTCTACTTGTGAAACCCAAAACTGATAACCATTACGTATCCATATTGGAATTGCAACAGAAAGGCAAGCCACCATGAGTGGGACAGTCAAGGAAAGGCCTAGAAGTACTGATGATTTACTGCAGCAAAAAAACAAGAAGAATATTAATGCATACAAGGTAAATGAGTTTATGGTACTTCCATATCATACTCAAACCTTAAATAGCAAACGACTAAACAAATATGATTCACAAATATAATACAATGTGAACAAAGAAAGATTTAAGAAGCTATTGATGAACATATAGATAAAACTATGGCTGTAGAATTCCTAATATAATATATATATCAAGAGGAAGATTAATCACTATTTTAATCTCTAAACATAGAAGTTTTAAAAAAACTAAACCAGAGCATCAGGCTACTAGGATGCGGTGATAAGTTGTTCAATTATCATATCCAGCATAGAAAAAGAGCTTCATTAAGGCAGCACTACAATCACCATACTGAAACTGACTAGAATTTACTTTAGACTTCATGACAGCCACAGCCAACGATATGAGCATGGGATACCAGAAACACAATGTCGGTAACATGCAAATACATTATTTCAGAGAACCAAGTCCTTGAACCATTAGGATGAATAAATGTCTTATAATTCTTCATTAAAGTAATCTGTGCAAATAAAATTTGCATTTAAAACTAGAATTATTATTCCTTTTTAAGTGTGACTAACAAAAAGCCTCAAATGGCAAATTATTTTATTCCCTTACAAAAAATAATCAAGTAAGAAAGAATTATCTTATAGAAATTTAAAATGATTGTATATAAATAGACAAGTCTCATACAAGCCAAAATCTGAAGCAATGTCAATTTTTAATGAACCAAAACAGCTGCAAGGCATTAAAAAATAGTTCCTCCACAGAGAGCTTTCGTGAAAATAAAACATAAAAAAACAAATTGAAGCATACCTCAAGAAGGAAAGCAGCAATCCAACACTAGTACTTAGCAGCCAGGCGATAAATCCATACTGAAGAACATAGACAAATTATACAGAGGCAAGGCAACAAACAATACCGTTAGAAATCCAATAATATACACTACTTGACATTTTATTTTTCTTTTTTCCATTAGAATAAAAACTAACAAGATATAAGCATGAAAAATAGACATATGTAAACACAAAACACTGATCCAAAGATAGAGAATTGCAATGTGCCATAGACTGACCAGCTTTTACTAATGCAGTAACACTCAGATACCAATCTTTCTAAGGTCAATCAACCATTTCAGATAGTCATGCCGTCCAAGATAGAATGTGCAAACTATAATTATGCACCAGTTAATGTAGAAACTAAATACAACTTCAACCCACCTAGAGGACCACAATATTGCAGACAATCAAACTGAAACTACTAATATGACCACAGCTTTCTCAAATGAATTTTGCTTTAAAAAAAATCAAAACAAAGAAAATGCAAAGTAAAAGTGCTATCAAGAATTCATTCAGTCAAAAATATTCCAAAAGATCATTTCACCAAAAAAAAGATACTTTTAGTGAAAAATTCAAAAATATTTATTACAGCTTACTAGCTGAAAGAATGTATACCTTGCGAGGTTTTGACGTCATGGCCATATCTTCAGCTTGAAGGGAGCGGAGAAAAGCCATGATTGAACAGACAACAGGAGATAAAAGCAGAACTGCAAAGCCGAATTCGAACTACAAAAATAACAAAACCAAACTTCTGTATTAGCACACAAAAAAAATTACTAAACAACCTTGAATTAAACTAACCTGAAGCCTTTTATAACATAGCTTAACTGATAATTTTACAAAATCTATTAAGGACAGGAGAAGATAAACTGAACATAATTCCTAAGAAAGGACCCCCACTCACTTGTTGGTGTGTAGCATTTATAATTCTAATAGTCCTTGGACGAACAATCGCTACACTGATTGTTTCAAGAATGAAAACAAAACTAAAGAGAACCCACGCTCGCTCTGGAGTTCCTGCTACATGATGCAAAAAAAATCTAGACATTTGAAGCCACTTTTCAAGCCCATGAAGCCTTAGCTCTTCTGAAAGAGAAATTTGATTAGGCATAACATTATCAACACTGTTTGAGTCGATGATTGTCACATTGGTATTGTCACAATGATCTCTGTCCGCATCCAAACTACTTCTCTGCAGTAATGCCAATATAGTAGGATCCAAGCTCTTCTCCTTCAACATCATGGCAAAATTTGGATCCAATCCCTTATCCTGCAATAAACTAGTCAATTCTCGATCCCCTTGTCTTGCCTTCCTCTTCAACAGGGACGTAATCCTAGGGTCATTCAACCTTTCCTGGAAGGCAAGGGCTAAATTTAAATCTAACATTTGTTGATTTGCTGAAGTGCTAGACTCACAGCCCTGGCTATCAAGACCACTACTAGAGCAAACAACCAGGGAGTTATTTTGATCATAATTTTTATCTGCAAAGGAAGTCCCAGCTTCTGGCTCTTGGACAACTGAACGACAAGAACTGCTACGTAATGCTATACTTGGCCGTCCACTATCCATGCTCTTATCACTATGGATACCCTCATGAGAACTGGCATTTCGACAAAAAAGACCATTATTCCAATTACTAGCATCAACTATACATTGTGCTGTACTCTGGCCACTAGCTTCAATAATATTACCAAGGTGACCTGCTTCAGCACTACTACTACGCTTCATACTTGAACCACAACCTTCAGAAGAGCTGGATGAACTGTTTTGTTCTTTTCTGCGAAATCCCTCCCTTAGGCGAATCACTGTACTCTTTAAGGCATCTCTCCTAGCAGCTAACGGGTTTGTAACTGACAAATGACGAGAAACTGCAGCACCTAATAGGAATGAGGCTACAACTGCGTAACTGATACAGTGCCCCAAGTACCTAAAGGAAAGAACATACAGGAACAAATTTAACGACAAAATGATGACAAAAAAAAAAAAAAAAATTAGTACAGAAATCAATATTTGAGACTTCAAAAGTCGAGAACAAACCAATAATGCACCCCAAAGCAAATGAGGAAAACCCGAGATGTTCCAGCGACAAAAAGAGCTGCAACACGATTTTGCAGAAGCTGAAATCCATACAAGCATGCCCCCATGTTCCAATCTACAACACAATAAATCCATTCAAAATACATTAGCACCAAAGGAATATGTATATGTTGACAACAATGTAAAAAACCAAATGTAATAAACAGGGGAATCAATAGCATACCAAGAATGATGACAGCAGCTGATGTAATTGCTCCAAGCCAGCAGGAGTCCTTTGCTGTCAGACCATATAAGATGGAATAGACAAAAAGAACTACAAGCGAGCCAAAGTAGAGAAGTCCAAGATGCGAAGCCCTAGAATATGAAAGCAAAATCAGAAAACCACAATGACAACAGAAAAAGGTTCTTGAGAAGCATAATAACCAAGCACATTTAAATGTATGGCATAATTGTCGACTGGGTGTAAATACATTTCAAACTACAACAAAAATTTGAGATTTTCTAAACTCTCATTTCCTAGAGGAGACAAGAAAGGATTAACAATTAATGTTCAAGAAAGAGATTTACAAATTTAACAACTTAAAGTTTAGGATTCCTGAACACTTGACATTTGATGCACATGTCCAGTTTAAACATTTTAAAAAAAAAAAATACAGAAACTATATATTAGCAAAGGATATTTCCAAAGAGGGCATGAAACAAAAAGCATCCTATTGACCAATTAAGGACTTAATTTATGTAGAATTCAGATTATTAATTATTAAACATGATTTGTTATAAAGCATGCCAAACAGCAAGATATGCAACAAACTACACTACAAAAGCAAAAGCACTACGCCAAACTTGGAGATTACCAGCACTTCAAGACAATATAGAGATCCAGCAATATCTAGCAAAACATGAAACCTGAATGTCTGAAGCTAAAACAAGAAATTGCTTACCTACTCGATTGTCGAGGATACAACTCATTGGGATCAGGTGGTTCTGGTAAACAAGCCAAAGGACCCATCTCTATACCATCAGGATAAGCAAATTTATAAGCCCTCCGCACATACTCATCTACATCTAAGCCATTCCCTGCAACAATTAATGATTTAAAGTAAATAAATAGAAAAATTAGATCAGGATGGCAGTACTTGGAATCAATAGCATCCTAAAGAGTAATGCCTCTTGATTTGTCAAATATAATTAAAGTGAAATTACATCTCTATCTTGATAGAAATAAAATAAGACCATCAAGATACTTACCATTAAAGACCATTCGACAAATAAAGAGCATGTTGATTGCTAATGCAATTGCAGATACACCAAAAAAGAAACCAGAAGGCGAATATCGTTCAGATGCATTTAAACCAGCTGTAACATACACAGCACAAAGCTCATATGCACAGAGTAGGGCAACAGCAAGAAGAAGAAGCAAAGCGACAGCCCCTGAGCAGAAAATGAAAGAATTGATATAAGAATAATAGAAAAACATGATAAAGATACAGTCTGAAAAATTCAACCCTAACCCCCCCCTATATCCCCTATATTTTAACTTCTTCATAAATGCATTCAGTAACAGATGAACAAGACATAACAAAACAGATTCAACAAATGAAGGTTTCATACTAAAATTATTGTTAAAATCTAGAAGAATAAAAAAAGCAACCCCCCGCAAGTTAAAAAGTTTGAGATGTAAATTTGTTGACAAGCTCAAGAGGTTCTTGATTGCAAAGTAATCATGCTCCTTAACATCCATATTGTACTCAGCAATATAAAGTTGATAATTTCTTTTTTCTCTAGAAAACCCTGGCGTGAGGAAGAAAAAGATTGCCATAAAGTATAAAAGCCCGTTACAATTTTGCCATCTCAAAACCTAAATGGATACCAATATGCACATGTCCCTCCATATCTTATTAATAGTAAACTGTGTAACACTATAACCCAGGCCTCCAAATTCAAACTAAGTAACTAAACTTGTCCTCATCCATAATCCGAGCTCTTATGCATGCCTAAGTCTAGCTAAGTGTTTGTCAAATTTCATAATGGACTCTACCTAACAATAATCATCATCGTATAAACATTGAAAAGTACTATGGTCTCTAATCCAAATAAGTTTTTTATTTTTGTCAAAAAGAGCACTTTCATCAAGTTACTTGTATATGCTCAGAGCAACCCCACATGTAAAAGACATAAAGCAATTAAATAGATTTCCAAAAAAGAGTGCCAGTTTTCCAGACAAAGAATAAGAGTTTCAATTGTTCACAACATAAAGGTCAAAACAATACATACTTGAGCTTTGCCATTGTGTTCTCCACCAAAGCATGATTGAATAGAAGGCCAATAAAAGAGCAGTGCCAGCCATTATTATAGCCAGACCAACTATATCCCGACCAAGTATTACAATCAACCAGCATCCCCACATGATAAGCACAGCAACTGGAGATATAACAACTATCCATGCCAGTAGAGACAGAACTCGACATACTATACCCAGCTGAGGTCCTTGTAATATATTTGGCCATTTTCTCGCAAATATCCAACTGAAAAAGAGAAATATGAAACAACCAAATGAAAACAAGAAACCTACAATTCACTATAACAAAAATCAGGGCACAAATGCAGTCACATAACAGAAATATCTATTTCACAATGGAAATAAAATACCAAAACAAACAATAACTAGGAAAACGATTGTACTCCAAGCTATCTCATGTCGTCGGAATGGATGGGAAAAGGTCCAGTTAGCGCAAAAACAAATGATTTTTCAACCAATAGGTCTTTAGAACATGGCTACTGCAAATCGTTCATCCTAAGAAACAAAGAGAGAGAGAGAGAGAAAGAGAGAGAGAGAGAGAAAGAGAGAGAGAGAGAGAGAGAGAGAGAGAGAGAGAGAGAGAGAGAGAGAGAGCTGAATCTGAACAATTAATGACCTCAATTTTAAGGTTGGCAGAATTACGACCCAAATACCAGTTCATGAAAGCCGTCCCACTCACAGAACGAAAATCACAATTTTCACATTTGTTCGAGTCATAAAGGTCCAACCTTATATCTAAAACAATCATAAAATCTGTTCCTATTGCAATACTATTGTTTTACAAACATTTTTGGAAAGACAACTAAAATTCCAGAAGACAAAGGTTCCAGATTCATCTCTTTAATGTTCCATTAATTGCACAATTAAACTTATTATAAAGTTAAAGCCAAGAAACAACCCAGTGAATCAGCATTATGATGCCTCCATACAAGGAAATTAAATGCTAATTATAATCTGATCACATTAAACAAATTAAACAAATATGGTAGCGAATATTAAAAGCTTAACAAGATTGAGAAAGGAGTACCTATAAAGTCGCCAAGGCCGCCAATTCACAGCCCAGAGAATCGAAAACGAAGCCGAACCCAAAACTGCAAAAAGGCTTCCCGAAATTGCACAAGCCAACACTATCCCTCGTTCATCCCCTTCCATGGCCTCCCTCTCTCACCTAGGCACACCAACAGATAAACAAAAACATAAGCTTACAGTAAACACATAATTTAAACCCACAATCTACCACAACCAAACACAAAGCTTCGAACTTTAACAACAGAATTGAAACCCAGATTAAGACAGTAATGTGAAGGCAATGAAATGAAACAGGACCAAAACCACAATACATGACATCCCAAGAGACATAGCATAAGAATCTACTAAATTGGTCGTATCTCCTATCAACTCAAACCCAAATAGAAAGAACAGTAATGTGAAGGCAGTGAAACGGAACACAATCAAAACCCTAATATATGACATCCCAAAACAGAAGGCATCAAAATTTTCCAAAAAAGCAAGCTCAATTGAACTAACAGCTGAAACCCAGTAAGAGAAACGTAATGTAAATCAATAATAACAAGAGGGTTTTTACCTACTTGATTGAAGTGGGCTTGATGGGCAACAACATTATGTTGAATTCAGCAGAAATGAGTCATTTTCTGAATGCAAATTGAGTGCTCAAGCCAGGTAAAAATGGGTAATTCCGTTCATGGGTTTTAGGGTTTGCAGCAGAAAATTCAGCTCAGAAAAACCACTAGCTAGGGTTTGCTGAAGAAGAAGATGGTGAAAAAGGAGTGAACTTTTTTTGGGTTTGTTTCCAAGTTCTGATTTTTAGGGTTTGGATTTATCTTCTTTGATAATTTCTGAGAGAAAAGAGAGAGTAAAGATTAAAACCCTACTACTGGTATGTGTGAAGACTCAAGTAAATTTTTTTTTTTTTAATTTTTTTTTGGGTTTAGAGAGAGAGTTACAGTCTTTTAGAGAGAGAAAGTAAAGAAAGACTTAAAAAAATGTGTAAAGATAGGAACAGTGGATATAAAATAATTAATAAAAAAGTTATATCTTTGTCTCAATGGAAACCTAACCCAATCTCAGTTGAGGAGCGTGTATTACACGCACTAATGATATTGTAGAGAAATGGAAGGTGAAATACTTGGTATGCAAAGAGTGAGTGTTGATATTATGTGTGAGATTAGCTTAATTTTGAATGATGATGGAATTGTTTAATATATTAAAGGGGTCAATTATGTTGACATGGAAGTAATTTTGTTGATTTAGTAGGTGAAGAATTTGTGTCTTCAAACATCAGTTTATATTTTATTTAATTAGGTAAAGAATTGTAGAGGGATTAGGGTTTATTGTGTTTTGGGCTTTTTTAAAAAAAAAATTCAAGTCACAAAATTGACTTGTGACCAAAATCAAAAAGGCTTTAGTAGAAGCAAGTAAGCAACCAAACCATGGTTGTGTTTTTATGTTTTATTTTGTTTTTCTAGATGAGCTCAAGTACCAATGGACTCTAAATAGTTGTTGTGTTGGGTGAGAAAATAACAATGACAATTAAATTCTCTTTCTAGTACCAAATCCTCGTAAGATGCAGATTGATAAGTCTTTAGGTCAACAAATTCACTTTTGGATGTATTTGGCGTAACCAATAGCATTTGAACAAAAACCTCTCTCTTCACTTAACTAGTTTTTGGAAGTTTATTGTACAAACATTTATAACATCATGTAATTGTTTTGAAAAATATAATTCATGAAATAGGGTTTATGAGAATTTATTGGTAAAAAAGTCAAAGAAAGACATGGGGGGATGTAGTTGCATAATCAGAAGATGGGTGTGGTCTTTCAACAACAATAATAATACACTAAAAATCAGTAACATTAACTCCATAATGATTTGCACTCATTCACACAATAAATAGCATTTAAATTGAATCCAGCTAGACCACTAAATTCCCAATTCATAATGTTCTACTTCTTCTTCTTTCTCATTCATTAATGCTACTCTTTGTGTTATTTATTGGCTGATCAAAACAAATATGCTTTTGGTTATTAAGAGAAGAGAACCTTTATAGGGTAAAGTTAAGGTTCATTTTCATCTCATATGACTAATACTTGTCAACAATTTAAGTTTTTCTGATTAATGAACATGACATCTTTTAATACTTCATTGAAATTTTGTACAATAGGGATTGTACTTTTCTTGTTGCCTTTGTGATTTTGAGAAGATGTAAGGTACACAGTGTCCTACATTTATTTGAAAAATCAATTTGGATGAGATATTAATAAAATGGTTTGATTTAGGTCAAGAATCTTTAAAAACTAGTTAGAATTTAATCGTTAATTCTTTTTTTAACCTGATTATTAGTCGATTGTCGCAGTAAGATTTTACGATATATGAAAGGTTGTTTTGAAAAGGAAATAACACTATTCTAATGGTAATATGGGTATCTTTGAACCATATAAGTCTCATATTTATGATCATAAATGGATTTAACCAAACTTGGTAACAAATACACAACATTTAAAAGTTAGATATGCAACATAATGAGGATGGTGGTGTAAGTAGATATAAGAAGTAAATGAACTTCTAATCCAAAGTAAGCACAAATGAGAGAGGACAATTGAAGAGGGCTTTTTGGATCCAAAAGGCGCAATTAACTGGCCCAATAAGACAAGTGTATGGGCTTTTAGAACTCAAATTTCAACTAAAACTCCAAAATTCACAATATGGATTATTTTTAAAAGGTCTTGAAATTTACAAATCCATCCAAATTTCATACCAACTGGCACAGAGAGTGGTGGATCACAGCTGGACATCAAAATCTAGCCACGGTGATGATGCTATCAACACATTCTAGTTGGTGTGTGAATGAAAGTGACTAGAAACATCCAAAATGGCAATAAATATATACAATTGAAAGGCCCTTTTTGGGGGAGGAATCTTAAGGTGGAAATATATAGTGAAAAATGGAGGAACTTGTGAAGGAACAGGAACCTAAGATTGGACAATTGGTTGATTTAATACTTTTTTGGTGACATGAAGAGGCAGGCAGTGAGTGTGACAGTGGGGAAGCTTTAGAAAAGGAGATAAAAAGTTGTCATCCACTCACATGCATATCATATTCTTTCCTTATCTTCCTCCAACACCACCCTTCATTAAAGGCCATTTCTGCGATTGGTATTATAAATTTTCTCGAAAATTAATCAATTCATAATAAGTCTCACCTACCCAAATTGCCAACTGAGAAAATTTTTGTAAAATTAGGCCAATCTTTACTGTTCAGCAATGGCTATTGCAATTTGCAAGATCTAAAAGTTTAGGGGTTTCGCTATATCCTTCTTCATATCAATACATCAACGTTAAACTTATAAAAGCATAGAGCGAAACTTGTAAATTAAAGATGTAAAACTTGTAATATGCACTTTTCCCTTGTGTTAAAACCAAAGCCAAAGTTTAAGATCAGAAGTAGTAGATTCATTCATTCATTCATTAACAGACCACTCCAAGAAAGGAGCAAAACAAACAAATAGAATACAAAGAGAGAGAGAGAAAGAGAAAGAGAGAGAGTGACAAAGGCCTGTTTCTTTTAGCTTAGGAGAAACTTGGCCACATCCTTAACCACTTACCACTTACATGGAGAATCTTTTCGAGTAAAAAAAGAGAAAAAAAAAAAAAAGAGTCAAAACTTCTCACTAGAGAGGTCACATGTTACTAACCCAACCTAATAGTAAAAAGTGGTAAAACAGTAAAAAAGGTATACAGAAGAGGGCAAGATGGACATTACACTAGGTTGAATGATACATAGAAGGGGGAGAAAGTGAGTGAGGGGTAAAATGGGAATTTCTCCCTTACTGGCAATTGGGGTTTTTACCAGGGCCCCCATAATAAAAGTAATGGCCCCAATCCCCATTGCTGCCTGTTTGGACATCATAGCAGTTGGATTGCTCAGTAAAAGTGCCAATGCCTTTTGGCGCCTTGAGATTATTTGACCCATCCACTACTTGTATGTTCCTGAAATAACTTGATTTTCCAAAACCTTCTTCAGGAAAATGGCCACTGCCCATTTGAGTTCCAGTGTGCTGCCCATCTGGCTCTGAGTTCACAACTTCACCTCCCCATTCAATCATGGATGCACTGTCTGCCAAGTATGAAAACAGGAAAGATGGCCAGTACCCCAGTACATAGTCATTGCCAAATTGCATCCACCAATGCCCCTCAGTTGGATCCTGCACACAAACAAGTTCGCTTAGACAATCTTAAAAAATAAATAAATAAACTTTGGGAAGTTGTGGCATAGAGGAATCAAACTGAAAAGCATAAGCTTTAGGATTCATAGTTAATTAATTGAGGCAGCGAAAAGTTAGATTTTTTAAACAGTGTGGGTGAGGAGGAGCCTGGTGGCCCTGACAGGCCAAACCACTGAGCAAAAGAAGCCAAAGATTCTCAGCATCTGCACCACAATGATGTTTCTGATACACCCCTTAGCCCCTCAATTTTCTATGTCTGTACCATTATATGATGATGATACAGCCAAGAGTGTGCATTTGAATATGCAGTGGGAAAAGGACAATTTTCACTGATGCTCACATGCAGCCTCCTTGGCAGTATCAGCTTTATTATATAGTGTTAGGCTCCAAATAAAAGGTTAATAATGTTATTATCTAAAAGTATATAAATATGTGTGGCTATGCATGAATATGCCTCCTGGATTTTTATTTTTTATGTTTTTACCTTCCAGATAAGTATACTGATATCATATTGGGAATTTCTGTAGCCAGAAACAGGAGTTATGCTTGCTCCCATTGCTATTTCACTGTTGATTTGAATAAAGCCTGAGCAAAGAAGATTGTAGCAGCCTGTAGCTTGATATGCATCACTCTGGAATATATTCACAAGAAAGCAATAATATAAGAATAAACATTAAAGAAACCAATTAGTATTATTTAAATGTGAAAGCCAGAAAAAAAAATGGCAAAATTATGGAAGCTTACAGTCCAGTAGGTGAAAAGTCTTGTGTTGTTATCACCATATAGATCTGGGCTGACCTGGTTATATGAACATTCAAGTATTAAATTAAGACTTTTGTGCATTAAAAATTGAGTCATTGTTATCAGGTTCCATTCTCAGTTCAATTATTGAAAAATATTGTGTGAAAGTAAATATAATAAATACCTGCCATCCAGCTTCAATGCTGTTAAGATCTTGACCAAAAGAACCTCCCAAAATCCAAAGCTGAGACAAGCTGAACTCATTAGGTTGTTGTATTTTTGGTTCCCATACATTAATGGTGGCTTTTGCTCCATAGTATTTATCTCCTTCAACATAAGCAATGGCATGCTAATCATCCAAAACAAAAGAGAACAAAGGATCAAGAAAATTTAAATGATGAAAGCATCAAGAAATTTACTAAAGGAACCTACTTTAGTCACACAAAAAAAAGTAATAAAGAAGGCATTTATACCTGATGACCACTTTCATTGATGAGGTCAGGATCAGCTGACTTTGGCTGAGGGATTGGGATGCTTCTGTGCTTCTTCTTGCCATATCTTTTCACTGAACTTGCCCTCAAAACATCATCTTCCTTTGTCCTCCTTATGGGGATGGTCCCTTCTGGGCATTTACCATTCACATGCCACAACTGCTTAATGGGGTTTGTTCTTTCTTTGGGTTTCACAGACACTTTGTTATCATCAAAAAGCCCTTCTGGGTGGTAGTTAGGCCTCATCTGATGAAACCAAACACAAGCCCCATCAGAAAATCAACCAACAAAAATATTTTACATCAAAAAAAGTGACAAATGTAGAACAGAAAATGAAGATTTGAAAAACTGACCTGAATTTTGTGGTCTTTGAGATAAGGATGATCAAAGGCTGGTTGGTGCGACATGTGAACACAATCTATAATATCCCCATCTGGACTCTGTTCAACCACAAAAAATCACAAGATTAGAACAATAGATCTTGGAAATGACTTGAAAAACTGCATTCAAATTTCAAAACTGATTAAATTAAAGAAATCAGCTGCATTCATTTTCTACTTGGTGACTTGAAAATTACTTATTTACAAAAAAAAAAAAAAAAAAAAAAAGTAATAGAACTCTCATTATGACCTCACTTTCTTCTTATAGCTTTAACAACTCCATCAAAGAAAAATCATTGTTCCTTCAAAAACTATAAATTTGGTTCAAATCAGAATATGTACAACACTTCATCAGCAGCACAAAGAAAAAATAATAAATAAATAAAAACAACACCTTTACTAAACAAAACCAGCTAAACCCACTAATTTTTCAAAAAACCAAACCAAGAAAAAACATAGGCCAAAGAAATCCCGCTTTTCTTCATTTTTCCTGCACTTTCTCTCACTTTCCCACCAGCCAAACACACACAAGTGACCAAAAAGAGCAAACTTTAGGAGAGAGAAGGTAAAGTTAAACACTAAAAAGACTAAAAATGGAACCAACCTCAATGCTTTTAACTGGTTTTTTGTTCAAGCGATTCAAATGCTTTTCAACTTCAAGTTTCTGCCTTTCAGAACCCAACCTAGCACCACAACCCACAGAGATCAAACTCAACAAAACCACCACTAACAAAGCTTCTCCTCTCATTTTTGCTGCTGCTTATACACAAAACACTACACTACACTACACTACACAAAACAGAAAGCCCTCACAAGAAAGAAAAAAGCTTAAAGCTTGAGAAGAGTGTGTAGCATTAAGAAAACAATGAAGGGCAAGAGAGAGAGCTTAAAGGCATAAACTTTCTCCCCTCTAAGTGGGTCTGGTTTTGTTTTCGCTAAAGTCCAATTAAACTGCCTAAAAATCACTCTTTTCTCTCTCTTTCTTGTCATTTTCTTACCACTTTTTCTTTCATTAAGAGCGCTGGCCACTGTCACCTCTCTCTCTCTCTCTTAAAAATTATTTATTTATTTCATATTTTATATTTTTGCATGAGGGTAAAAAAAGGAGAAGCAAAAAGTTTGAAAAAAATTAATTAAAAGAGGGAAAAAAGAATAAAAAAAAAGGTCAATACAAAAATGTATAATTAAGCCCATGCTAGTTTTTGTAGGTATTGTTACCTCATATAAGCCATAAAATTATTTAATTTTTGAAAGGCAACATTACCACCCTCTTACTAACCATCCCCATGTAATTAATAGTGCTTACAATGCTAATGGTAGTTTCAAGCATGCATTAAATAGATTATTAATTAATGTACCTACACATGAAAAATACTACCGACACCAACGCTTTGCACCAAATTTTTACATCGAATGGCGTGTTCATTGAATCAGACAAGTCACGTATCACTTTAACAAATATTCCACGAATGAACGGTCATCCATTAAATATGGACGACCATTCATTTGAAATAGACTTTCGTCCATATTATATAGACAACCGTCCACATAAAATGGACGTTCGTTCATAGTTTAAACTAAAAAAAATTGGCCTAAATTGTTTATGGACACTCATCATCTTATGAGGACGGGCGTCCATCTTTTAGTATTAACAAGTTTTAAATTTATTTAATGCATTAATTGTGAATCCTAGTTGAGTTAAGAATATGAAACTTGTCCAATTACTTTGAATATAAACAAAAAATTAATGAAGCTTGTCCAATTACTTTGAATATTGACAAAAATTGAACGAAGATAACAACATTTATTTTTGGATTGAGACCAAAATTGAATGTAAAATTTTTTAAATTAAACAATGGACAACGTCCATCTAAAAGGGATGCATATCCATTTAATGTAAAATTTTTTAAAAAAATTTGGACGTCCGTCCATAATAAATAGACACCCGTCCATATAATATGAACGGAAGTTTATTAAATATGGGCGGGCGTCCATAAATGTTGGACGATCGTTTATTCACGAAAAACTTCAGCGTGGTCGCGTATGACTGGTTGTCATGTTCTTGGGTACAAAAATTCGGTGTAAAATTTCGGTGTCCGTAGCATTATTCATTTACGCATACATGATTAAAATCAATATTAATGATATTACCTCCATCATGTTTAATTAAGAGGTAATTTTCGAAATCTGAAATCCATAATGTCTTCGAGTTAAAATGAAAATGTTTTTATGTCAATCGATCTGATAATATTATCAGGTTAGTACTTCATATTATTGACAAAAAAGAGTTAGATATGATACGAAGGTAACGTTACTGTCGATAATGTATAACGAGTCTTCCAATAACCTTATCCATAAAAAAAAAAAAAAGATGATATTGGGCAATATTATAATACTTGTAAAATTATAGGGCTCACATGAGCTTTGGTTTGTCGTTTGGTAAAGGCTGTTTTTGGGGAGGTCCCCCGTGTATGACATACATCTCTTGGGTTTCTCGTATTTGCTCCTTTTATTTCAAAAATTCATTTCATTTCACATGACCATTTTGCCCCTAGTTAATTATTAACCTTAATTAGTCACATTTTTATCTTAAATTATGGCCCCATTAAATAGTAATAATCTCTGTTTGTTAATCTACTTGGTTTTGCTAATTAGTCATTGCATTACCATTTCCTAAATTTTATCCCAAAGAGGTTTGCCTCGTGATTATTAGGAATGAAATGCTTGAATTTGAAGGGTGATTAATCATTGACTTTGTCATTTGATTACCAAAATAATTGCAATTTAAAAAAAAAAAAAAAAAAATTTAAAGGAATCCAAAGAAAACAAAAAAGTAAAACAAAATCCTATCACAAAAATCATTTTGTATAAGTTGACCCCCCCTGAGGTTTGATTTAATAACGAAAATCCTCTTGAAGTTTCTAAAATAACATAAATATTTCATCGTTAGTAAACCGTTACTGAACGATTAGGTTTTAAACCATTATGTGTTGACGAATATATATCAGATTATCCATTTTGTTGTTTGTTTTGACACTGAAAACTTAATGGTAAGAGTTTTTTTTTGTTATTTCATAAACCTTAGGGGGTTGCATATATAAGCATATTATCTAGCGAATCATTAACAACGTGACCTTTCATCCACGATCATGTTTTTAGATTATTCTAGACAAAGATTCTTCAGCTATAATTTTTTTTTATATGATGATACATTATACTATAATATGATGTATTTTTTTAAGAGAGTAATGGGATACAATTGTAGAATCTTGGCATTAAACATATAATAGATGCTCCAAAACAATGGTCAAATTTATATTTTAGAAACTTTATGCGTTTAACTTTGTAAGATAGAGCGCAACTTTCCACAACATTTATAATATGAAATGGTTGTGGCACCTTACACATATCTGTTGTCAACAATGCCCATAATTGCAATTGCTTATAGAGGGAACTTGAGTAAAAATTCAATCTCATCCTTACTCTCCACTACCAACTACCCTTTAGCCATTCTCTTCATTTTTCTCATTTCTCCATTGAAAATTGCTTCACCACAACCATTGGTCATTTCTTACCTCCTCCATTCAAGTTTTTACTAATTATATATTTTATTAGTTTATAATCTAAATAAGAGTTTTGTAAGATTCCTAATAAATTTTTTCATTTGTTTTAGAAGTAGATATTTATATATCTGCCGTTTAGTGCTTTCATGTTATGTGAATAACAAAGACCATGAGAAATATCCAAAAAGACATTTAGGGTATCGGTTTGATTTTATTTCAGTTTATTCCATTCGAAAAAAAAGAACCCCAAATAATCAATTTTCGTCTATTTGTTGAATCTGTTTTTTATTGATCTATATGTTATATTCTGCTAATAAGCATGATTTTTTTAACACAATTTCTCGACAATCTTATTATAGTTAATTAAAGAGTAAGAAATCGAGTTAAAATCTTATGTTATTTGACCCTTTTAAGTATGTCCAAAACTTCCCTCACAAAAAAGGAAAAAGAAAATTATTTCTAATGAGAGAGAGAAAAAAAATACCCTTTAAATAGTTGAAAACAAATAATGGAAATATGGCAAAAGAGAGGTGGAAGGGCAAAAGAGTAATTGTGAACGCAGTGTACAAAACAGAAATTCTTTTTCCCAATGAAAGGCGCTGGTCTGTTCTGTTCCCTCGTTAATGCCAATGAATGCAATAGAAATTAGAAAATACCGGTCGCCGTCAAATCCTTTTAACGCCGTTAATAATCACGTCACATGTCGGTCACTTTAACTTCCGTAACCGCACCACTCAGTAAATTACCCTCCAAGACAAACAAGAAAAGCTTGACGCAATCTGGTTTTCAGCAACCCGTGTGACAGCATCAGCAGCCGTACACGTGTACTGTTACTGAAAATTCACGCCCGTGACTGATCAAATCAGCAAGCAGACAGTCAACGGATTGATGATAGCACAAATCACAAGAGGGGTAAAAAGGGAAAAAGAAAAGTACCAACGGTAACAAAGAGAAGCAAATGAGAATCCTATGTGAAACGGTAAAAGTTAAAAAATAAAAAAGTAATTATTGTTTTAAAAATGGAATCATTCATAATATTAATGGGACCCTTTTGCTCTATACCGGACAACATTACGGTAACCAGCTCGGTAACGTTACCTTACTTAATGTGAATTCATTTTTTTTTTTTTTTTTTTTGTATTATTATACAAGTCTTAAATGCAAATAATGTGTTGTATGATAAATATAAACGATTAATAAGACACATTTAGCATAGATTTGATATTTTTGCTATTGTTTGTGTTATAGTGTTGGTAAACGTCAATGGACGGGTATTATTTATGAATTTGTCAAATTATTAAGAATAAAAAAAAATTATCAAGCATTTTTGAATTTCAAATCCAAATATTTAACGATTTGGTTTATTCGAAAAAAATAATAAGATAGTGAGAACTTTTAGTAACATTATCACAATATCCCTCTATTGAATATTTCACATTATTATTTTAATTTATAATTTGATTCAATTATATTATCGATTTACTAATTTGACATCGTGATTTAGTTCGTGTGATACTTTAAGATGAATAAAAAAATATAAAAAATGATTTAGAATTAGGTATTAGTCGACGCATTTTAATATGGATTCGGTTTTTTTTACTATAATGTGTTATAGGGTCGATAAACAGTAATGGACATATATTATTTATGATTTTTTCAAGAGCAAATTGAGAGAATTTTGTCTTATTAAGAACAAAGAAAAGAATACTTTGAATTTAAAACCCAAATATTTAATGATTTAATTTATTTGAAAAAGATAATAAAATCTTTAGTCACAATCCCTCCTTTAGATCAATGTTTTTGTATTAAGGAGTTAATTATTAAGTGGGACCCTCTTTGTTTATGGGTTGTATGAAGAATAGATAGTGTTTGTTGATGTATTGGTTTCAGAATTGGTCACGTGGAGATGGGGTAACTTGTTTGTGTGACTTGAGAGAGAGGTAGGGTTTCTTGTCTTGTCACAAGTTAGTCCCCAACATTTTCAGTATTTCTCTTTAGCCTAAGTTTGTCCAATCACGACCACAGTTTATCTAAGCGAATGTATGTATATTAGTCTAATCATGATTTATCGTGTTTGTGAGTCCGTGGCTTGGTGTGGTATTTTTGGCAAGTGTACGTGTCTTCTGTCGAATCATGATTGATCGTGTTGGTTATACTTGCTATGTCAACGACTATATGTGCGTTTGTGATAATCACAATTGATCACTCTAATATACATAGTTTATCTAAGTAAATGTATGTGCGTTTGTTTAATCTGCGTTAAACTGTATAATTTGCATATGCATCATGATTAGACGAATATATATATTTTGTAAGTGAATGTACACTTGTTTATAAGTTGTAACGAACAAGATCAAATTGCTCTTTTTAC